GGGCACCTTGGATGGGTGAGCACCCACAAGCAGCAAACCTGAAAGCCCTGCCCTAGGGAGTGGAGGCAAGATGAGCAACTGCAAGGAAGAGATGGAAAGAAGGGAGAAAGAGCTCCAGCAATGGGGCTCACCGGGCGCAGAGGCATGCCGGGGGATGCTATAGGGTGCAGCACTGCATGGGAGCCATGGGGAAAGGCTCATAAACTAGCAACAACCCCACAACCTCACCAAAGCCCTCTACGGACAGCAGGGCAGGATAGTTTCCGCACCGCTCTCACACTTATCCCCTCACATTGCCTTCAAGCTGCAACTCTAGCAAATTTGGTCCTGTCCCCTTGTGAGGCAGGCTCATGGCTCTGGCAGGGGATCGAAACAGCCCTTTGCCAGGGTCACTGCAGCCCCCAACCCTGCCCGCTCCCCACCATCGAACCTCAAACATCCTCCTTCAGAGCAGAAGAAATCCCCACCCTCCTGCCCATCTCTCAGCCTTGGCTGAAGTACCTCTCACAGAGCACCCAGATGTTTAATCTCTCAAAGCACTTGAATGTAACTTTAGAAAAAAGACATGATGCTCTGCTGCAAGCTCTGCAGGGCCAGGGAATTTGCTTTGCTCCTAAGTGACTTCTGCTGGCACTTTGCTCAGAAAGAAGCTAACGCAGGAGGCAGAGTGACATTTCAGGTCTGCCTGAAAGCAGAACTGTCCTGTCCCCAGGACAGAGATAAAACGCTTCATGCGGCGTTTCCGAGCCCCCAACCACAGCTGTCAGTGCCCTTTCAGGTAGTGGGAAATGCTTCCCAAAGACAAACTGCCACGTTCAGGCACTCGCTGAGTGCTCCTTTCTGCCCACGTATCCGCTCGTGGTGCTGATGTACCCAGGCTTTTAACAGATTTTAAACAAACCTATTATGCCAGAAGTAGAAGCACGTGAACAGAGAGCAGCAAATGTATTACCTACGCTGCTGGAGCGGGCGCTGCATCCCATTAGTCTTGCTGCAAAAGCTCACAAAGTGCTGGAATAAATGATGCCGAAGGAAAGGATGCTGAAAGATGGGGAGGAGAAATAGAAGGGTAAAATGCACAGAAATTTCCCATGGATAAATCACAGCCCCCTCCCCAGAGGAGATAATTGCCATTTTAAATGGGAACACAGTGGATCAAATGTAACATGGGCTGCAACAGAGCAGAAAATATCTATTCGTGCAGGAGAAGGAAGGAATTACTATGAGAATTGTAAGGAGACTAATGGGGAGACAGTAGTACATTACAATGGAAGGATCATTAATGCTCTGGAGAAGGCTATTAATAGAGTTCCTTAAAGATCAGCCTAGAGATAAAATTTATTTAATGGTTTTCATTAGTGACCTTGGCTCAGCAAACAGGAGTTTCTCTAAGAAAATATACTGGTGGGAAACCTGGCAGAAGTTTTGAACTGGACAAGGGACTAAAGTACTACAGCAGAACCAGCGGATCCAAAGATCAACAGAAACACAACAGGCTGGCACACGTTCATACACTTAGGGAGTAACAGCAAACATTGCTACTCTAAGCAGCTGAAAACACCGTAGGAAAGATATCTGGCTTTTAGGGAACCCCAGGATAACTGCAACAAAACAAATGCAATCCGACAAGTCTTCACAGCAGAGACAGTGTCCATCAGAGCACCAGCGCCGCTGGAAAAGGCACTAGAAGGATGACCCAGGAGCGATGCCCTACTCCAGTCCCTCACTGTCAGGAGGGTGATTTTGAACCAAGAACAGGTCCAGGCTGTGATAATGAGGATAATCAGGTAAATATAAAAGCTGCCTGGTGAGACAGGGCTGGAAGGGAATCATTTATTCAGGCTGTTGCTAGAAAGTCTGCCATGGGAAACAGCTGCTCCACTCGTACATCAAGGAGGAAATGAACTCGCTCTGCCAAAACACAACAGGAGCAAAGGACACAGGACCTGGTATTAAAGGTGGCTGCAAGTGACCTGGGCAGAAAACCAGGGGCAAATGTGGAGTCCCAGAGCGCCGATGCTCCAGGAGAGCGCCCTGAGCTGGGTGCATTGTGCTGAGGACTGTGCTCCGACGGCACTGGGCTGACCCCACAGCCCCCTGTCTACACCAGCCCCCCAGCCTGCTTTTCCTGTAAAACCATGTCCGGAGGCTGTGATCGCTCAGGGGAATGTTTCCATGAGATAATTTGGCTGAAGGATACTGGAAAGTCTCTCACACCCCCGCCACAGTTAGGGTTGCAACATCCTGCATCGGAGCTGGCAGGCGGCAGGTCCTGCCCCATCCCGTGGAGGAACAAAGTCCCAAGGGTTTGCAGGCATCCAAGCCCCTCAGCCCACGTGTGCAGGGAGGGTGACCATGCCCGGGCTCGGAGAGCTGCCGAGAGCCCAGCCCTGCCTGGGCTCCTCTGCAGGGATGGGGACACCTCTGTCCCCTTCCTTTGGGGACCCCTGCTCCTTCCTTCCACAGCTCAGCCCAGCGGCTCCATATCAGACTTGTAAATGCTTTCTACTCTCTACCTGACTGGAGAAAAAAAAAAAAAAAAAAAAAAGGAAGCGCCCATTTCTTGTCCTGAGCTAATTAGAAAAAGCAATAAGAAACACAGCTCCTGCTGGCCAGGTCTGCAGCGAGGGCTGCCCCATGGTGCTACCTGCGCCCCGGCGGGTGCCGAGTGTCAATGCACCCAGAGCCGGAACCCACATGGAGCCGGGATCCACCAGCAGAGCCCACGTGAGCTGCAAGAGCTGGTGGCAGGAGCAGGTTGTTGATGTGTGGTGAAGCAGCCACGTAGGAGGCTGCGATCCACCCACAGCATTTTCTAAGCGTGCTACTCCCCCTATAATTTATCCTGCCATTTCCACATGTTGGGAGCAATGAAAAAACATCCCTTTCACTTGGAAATACCCTTCTCTGAGAACAACCTGTTCTCGTCATTGCCGTCAGCGGGCAGGCAGCGCTCAGCTTGTTCCACGCTTCTTTTATGCGCGAACAAAGAGCTTTCCATGGCAAGAGCCTGCGCTGCAGCAGGAGGTGAGGAACCGCTCCGCACGCTGCTGCCGTGGCTGAAAGCATCACATCCCTCTCCCGACAGCCTTAATCCCAGCACCCAAATTCAGAGGGCCCCCTGTCTGGCAATGAGTTCGCTCTGCTCAGCAGGCGGCTTCCCACAGGCCAGTCCATTACTTGTCATTCACTTTCAATTCCTTTATAAGCAGCAGGGCTGCAGGTATCATCTCTAATCTCACCAGTCCAGTCCCCATTGCTCCATCGTACGGCTCCTGGCAATCAGTGGTTATTTACTCACACAGTCTCCCAGGTATACGCCCTCCCTTGGCCCCCATGTCTTTAACCTTGAATCAAAGACATAAATCATCTGAAGAGTATTTCAGCCTGCTCCACGTCATTATGTTGTTCTTGCAGGGCGAGTTTAACTTTAAAATCTCACCTCTGTCCCCTGCCAAGGCTGGACCTTTTACTTTCCTGGAGTTTCTTCTGTTTGCTCCATCTCCATAGCCTGCTGCACCCTGCGGAGAATCAGCTCTATCTTCCTGCACAAGCTTGTGCACCACCAGGGAGGGCTTCACTGGCGCTCCATGGGCTGCAGAGAGCACAGGTCTCCCCCACCAGCACACTGGGGAGGACGGGGAGACCCATCACTCCACCTGGGAAGCGCGTGGGGGAGGCCACAGCTGCTGCACAGGCAGCTCTGGGGGGGTCCCAGCACAGGCACTTGTGCTCCTCAACCCAATCCTGCCCGCCCCACCCCCCCTTGTCCCTGCAGTGCCTCAGTTTCCCTTTAGGCACCTTCCCCAACATGGGTGTTGCTTGCAATCACACAGGAACCGAGGCCCCTTTGAATCTAGTAGCAGCATGGTCCTGGAGACCATTGTAACCAGCAGCTAAAAGCTCTTTTGGAGGCTAGAGAGGTTTGCTGTGTTGTTTCTGCCCTTGCAAAATACAGCTTTTTGTTATTTACACCCAGACAGAAAGTTGTCATAAGAAGTAAGTCTACAAGGGGTGTTCTCCACTCCGTGTCCCTGTCCCACAGCATGAGCAGCTCCATCCAAACTCTCCCTGAAAAACAAACATACATGCTGCCCTTCAAGCTGCTGGAAATGGGACTAATAAAGCTGTCAGAGCCCTTTCCAGCTACCTCTTCCCCAGGACATTGCACCACTGACAAATGGGTGGATCTTTCCTCCCAGGCCCCTGAGCAGAGTGAGGACTTCCTCTCTGGGCTACAGGAGCCAGTGTGGTTGCTGACAGCAGGGATGAACACAAGGCATGGGCTGTTGCAAAGCACAGATACAAAGGCAAAGTTTAATGAGATAGCCACAGCCAAGCTTCAGAAATTATGTAGTGGTGACTAATTTTGCTGGATTGCGTAAGACAAGCACATTGCTTTCTCAGGAAAACTCTTTCCTCATATTCTCCCAGTCCTCACTTTTATCGTAAGCCAGTAGGAACTCGGTGCCTTTAAAATCCCTGCCCTTCACTCATCATCCCTCTGTTGTGGGCACCTCTGAGACTAGGGGAGGATGGCTGGCAGGGACACATGTGCCTGGCTGCCAAAGGACTTTCAAATTCAGGTTTAAGTGGGCTGGAGCCTCCAGGGAGGTGCAGACACTCTGTTTCTGGAGGTGTTTGGGGGCAGCTCAAAGAACCTTTGCCCACCACAGCTCTGAGCTGCTGCTTCCTTTGCAGGTTCTCCTCGGGAGGCGGCAAAATTTTGTCCCTGCTGGAGCACTGCTGACCACTGTCACCAACCGAACATGCAGAGTGCGTGACACCCCACTGGACCTGACGCCATGGTCACTCAGAAGAAAGGCGAAGGCAGGAGAGGAAAAGGGAGCAGTTGAGACCCACCAG